GCAATTAATTTTTTACATTTCATATTTATTCTCTCGGGTATGGTATATAAAGAAAGGCAAAGAGGAATAAAAAAATACACCACCATCGAGTTCCTTGAAATAACAAATGCAACGAGAAGGTCACCCTGAAGGCAAATAAGTGATATCGAGTGAGTGAATATCGTGTAGACAAATCAACCCAAATGTGAGAAGGTGTTTATCTACAATCATATCCGCAGATGAAGAATCAACACCACAATCAAATAACACTGGGAGTTACCCCGGCCGGCCAATTTAAGTAAGATACCGAAGGCGAGACGAGAAAATTCTTGATAACGAAAGAATGAGGTAATGTAGAACTGATAATGAGACAGAGCCAACAAAAATAAGAGGAAAAGCCCGAAAACGGAGGGAAGTCAATCTCCTTTATAGAGGCGGGATTGGGAAGAATGGGATTACTGCGCCGTCAATCTGATTCAGAGCTGTTGTTACCCTAGTTCTACTTCAGCTTTCAAAAAGCAAAAGTCAGCAAGAAATTCTGTTCACGAATTTATAGAACTATATTACTTGTAGGATCAATTCTCTGGAGCGGAGTAATATCATCAACACCACACGTCGCTGCAAATTCTTCATCGATATCAACTCTGGACCTGGTGGACCAGAACAATCAGCGTTACCTATTTCAGCTAGTCCTCTAGATTCAGTGATTCAGCCAGTACCTCTTACTCCAGTTTCCATCAGACAATTCATTTTATCTCCAATCGTCTAAACAATCAATCATAAGTCAACGAATCATTCTCATCATTATTTCCTTCAATCATTCTTCAACACTCGAGCCGAATTTAGCCTCCAGCGTTGCCAAATTCACTCCATACGGCCCGGGCGCGTTTAGCGATTTTTCGTCAACGTCGCGTAACAGGCAATTTCATTTGAGGGAACCCCTGTGTTTATTTGAATTTTTAGAATTGTGTTTTCGTCTACAATTATTACTTTATCTATGAAATTATTTTATCGACTCAATCATTGCATTGTTGGGTCAATGAAGTAGTTTAAAAAATAAAAAATAATAATTGCAGGAGAAAACACAATTCTAAAAGTTTATGTAGACAGAAGTTCTGTTTCACCTTAAGGTATATCTCTAGAAAACACATTTTTCTTAAGATTATCCCCAGGTTTTTCATAGATAATGTTTATAATAGTCCCCAGCCATTGAACAAAATACTAACTAGCTGTACTACATAGTTTAGGAGATAAAAAATAGTGAAATGCAGGCTTCGAACACACAAGACCTAGGCCAAACGGAGGTTATGGGTCCCCACCTCTCGAACTCGATTTTTCCATCTTATGTTCTTATGATGTTCTAAAAAAACTAATCTGTGATAGATTGATGAATTCCGAATATAGTGAATTTTTGGTAAAATTTTGTACTGTATAGTTTCTGCGATATTCAACTCTAAAAAATGGAAATTTCGTGAAAGCATTCCTTATTTGATTCAAAAAATTAATTAACAAATAATTTTTTATTTCATTCAAACAGTTATTGTTGCCTGCATCAATAACAAATGAGAATAGAAAAACTCAATAACTTATGATAATACAATAAATTAAGTTATTTCGATTTTTTTCCGGAAATCCATAGGGACTAACTTTTGGGTTCGATTGTCTTGGGATATACCTTGACTGGAAAACATAAATCATCTGTTGGAAATACTTCATTTTATTTACGACTTTTGTTGGAATTATGGAATTGTATTGTATGGATGTTTTTTTTTTAAACTACAATAATTTTCTAGACGATTCGATTAAAAAAGTTAATATTTTAATAGTTCGAATGGCTTTGCTATATTCCGTATTGTTTCCCTGTAGGCACAGTGCAACAATTCCCTCCACTACCTATTTTTTCATTCACGAAAAATTTACGCGATTGATGCGATTGCAGCTCCTTTAGCAATTTCAGCATGATATCAACTAAACAGGTTTACGATTGAACTTGTTCACGTTTGCCTCTCTATAACAAATCTGATTCTCCAGTGGAAATGAATCAAGATGGAGCCGGCTGCATAATCACTTACTTTACTACTTGGGTGCAACATTCGGTCCAATTCTTTACGCAACGATGGCTCACAGAATGGAACGAAAAATCATAAGGCTTTTCATTCCAGGTCCATCAATACTCAGCAATATTATCGGCATTTTTGAGATGAAGGTATTGGCGAATCGAACGATACAATGATCAAGATTGTGTAATATAGGTAGTACGTATACAATTCCCGGAAACTTTACACATGTAGAAAAATTTTTAAAGAAAAAACTAGCGCATTCGTTAGTAAATTCTATTGGCTATCTATCAAGCCTGGATTACATTACCCACGATTCTGTTTAGAAATTTCAGAGCTTTTTTGCTCGTTTTTCAGGACAGGAAATTTTCGATAGGAATGAATTTGAAGGAAAAAAAAACGCCGGGCAGAAAGGCTTCGGAAGTTCCCAGTAGAATTGGCGAAAAACTAATCGAATTTTTCCTACTAGTTCAATCAAAATCCTGTAGTGAATTTTCAGAATGTAATCCGACGGACGTTGAATATGGGACTTCTATTAAAAACTACTCGAGTATTCAAGGAATCCCCGGAGTACACTGTTAAAAATTTTCTACTTACTAACTAGAATATTTCGCTCTCCTATGTTGTTTGTGCGACCACATTATTCATCATCGTTCAGTAAATATTATATGTAGCTTTGAGAGGAGCCATTCACTTGGGCATAAATCGGTATGACATTCCAATCCCGTCTTCAACAGGTTAAGCTGCATGATATTAACAGTTGGGTGATTTTTTTTCTTCGTTCTCTCTAATACAATCTAATAAAACACCTTGTACGTAAAATGTAAACACTAGTGGAGAACCTCGCACGACGGCTTTTTGCGGCAAATTCTATGAAACATGAAAAAAAATGAATTACACACTATTAGAAAAAACATGAAATTTCGTAGACAGTTGAGTACTAATTTTCAGGACAGTGATACTGAATGCGATTTAGGGGAAAAAAAATCATGAAATTTCAGGTTTCACGGAAAATTCAGTAACATTCTACAATTTTAAGCGGCATAAAGACGAGAATTCTTCAATTTAGTTGAATTTTCAGTTTAATATGAATATTCAGTGCCCAATTACGTTACATTTTCAGTGAAATCTTAAATTTAATTATTTTTGTCCCCCTAAATCGCATTCTCTGTCATTGTCCTAAAAATTCAAGAATATATTTACCGGATTTTTCTGGTTTTCTATTCATTTTCAGGGAACAATGGAACTGAAATTTACAGTTCTCTTGGATTTTTCCCTGAAATTCTGAATTTTCAATGACGAAAGTCCTTGAAATTTCAGGTGTAATTAAATTCGATAAAAATTTTCAAAAAACGTATCAGAAATTTTTGACAAAAATTTATAACAGCGTACCTCTCTCCATTAAATTTTCCACATAACTTTTGTAATTTTTCTTCAATGCCCAGAGTATAATAATTCAACTTTTATTCGTAATTCTGATTTCTGAATATTATGGAACGCATATTGACTTAGTCGGAATCTTTGAGGCGCCGAAATCGATCACTCCGTTGAACAAAAATTTCTAAAAATAACGTATTGTTGCGTATTTGTTCGCTCCTTCCCCTCCAACGGTTGTAATGAACGAACGTCTTTCTTTCGCACCATTCATTTATCTTTGTCCTTACTCCGCGGCGGTGTCATTTCTTTTTAAATCTCTTTTTTCATTTATTTCGCCCCAAAATCGCTTAATAAAGTAGTTTATTATTAAGTAGGTCCAATACATTGCCGCATTTATTTACGTCAGCTGGCCTAATTTCTGATGAAATTCTGGATAAATTTTACCACTTCAAGACAAACTACCTTACAATCAGTCAATTTTCCAAAGTAAACATGGAAAAACACCTGTCCTGCCATATTTTTCCATGATGTAAAGTAAAGTCTTGGAACTGTAGCATTTTTCGCACCCTTCATTTATCTTCGTCTTTACCCCGCGGCGGTGTCATTTCCTTTTAAATCTCTTTTTTCATTTATTTCGCCCCAAAATCTCTTAATAAACTATTTTATTATTAAGTGGGCCCATACATTGCAGCATTTATTTACGTCAGCTGACCTAATTTCTGATGAAATTCTGGATAAATTTTACCACTTCACGGAGAGAAATATTCAATAAAAATTACGTATCTTTTCCCTAATTCCGGAGCGAAATGTGGATGTAGGAAATTTTACGGAACTGTAACGGAATTTTTCCAGAGCGTTCCGTAAGTTTTATCTGAATCTCCTGTGAAAACTTACGATACTCTCACTCAAATTTTCTGAGTCGATTCCTCAATCGGTGAGTGAATTGTGAGTTCCGTAATTTTTACTGAATATTTCTCTCCGTGTTGAAGACAAACTACATTACAATCAGTCAATTTTCCAAAGTAAACACAGAAAAACACCTGTCCTTCCATGTTTTTCCATAACGTAAAGTGAAGTCTTGGAACTGTAGCATTTTTTATATGCGTAGTATTCTAATCTTTTTTTGCCCAAGAAATTTCCCGAAAATGTAAGTGCCAGCAGCAGGCAGTTGTCCGTAAACTGGCACCTTCACGGCGCCAATGCGTACCAGAAACGAGGAAGAGAACACTTGGTAAAATACGAAATTTGTTGAATAGTGGAGGGAGAAAGAAAACGCGTAGGATGATTTATTTGAACGGATCCAGCCGTTTTCGTTGATAGTAATCTTATGTGCAAATAGTTAATATTTGTACTCGAGCCACAGAAGTATATATTAGTTCTAGTTTCGTATCAAGGACGGATCGTTTGATTATTCCAATAAAAATGTCCAAAAATTGCTTAACCGCATAGAAAATCCCTCGAGCGATTAATTAAAAGTATAAACAGCGCGTGATCCATATTTGCAGATCTCAGGTGAACGATATCAACGTGTGGCTTCTGGAAGTTATAAAAACCGTAACGGCACGTTGTAGTTTAATCTAGTCCAAAATGGTTCTTTACGTGGCAGCTATCGTGAGTTACCTCGGTATATTCGCGAGTAGTACGTTTATGGGGTGGAGTTCACCGGTTTTACCACTTTATGAACGAGGCGATTCACCATTTCATCTCTCGGGCAGCGAAGGCGCCTGGGTTGCATCACTGAATCTCCTGGGTGCAGCAGTTGGCCCTCCCGTTTGTCTGCTATTTGCCCATTCCGTCGGAAGAAAAACTCTTCTCATTTTCAGTGTTCTCCCTTTTGTGATTGGGTGTATCACCATTGCCTTTGCTACCTCTGTCTATGTGAGTATTCTGAGCGATTTATTTAAAAAGGACAGGAATTGTACACTCCGTCAGATGTTCATAAAAGTAGGACTTTCGTATGCGCTCGCGTAGCCCATCATATTTTGTGCGGATTCATATTACTGTTGGCTGGAGAAATGGAATCGCGTACGGAAAACTTTAATAGAAAAACCTAGCGAATTCGCTAAAAAAGTCTATTGGATTTCTATTGAACTTTCTATTAGTTCTTGGGGGTTTCTATTGAAATGTTCAATAGAAAATATTCTACAGAATTACATCGGCTCGGATGTTCTTTGGTGTGATGTAGTGTAGTTTTTTGGTGTAATTTTCTTGATAAGAAGAACAGAAAAATTGAATGAACAAAACTTGGAAAATTTGAGCCGAGAAAGTTCTATGGAAAATATCTCAGTAGAATAAGTCTTATAAATAAATCGAATTCTATTGACTTTTTCTATAGAATATTTTGTATTGATCATTTCAATAGAAACGGCCAAAAACTAATAGAAAGTTCAATAGAAATCCAATAGAATTTTCTAGCGAATTCGCTACGTTTTTCTTTTAAATTTTTTCGTGCGTGATGTCTCGTTCGTAAAGAACGAGTAACCCCCCTAAAAAAATGTCCGGCACAGCTACTATATAGAAATAATAGTGATTGGAGATAATGAAATTAGGATCTTTTGGGGCACAAATGACGTCACTTCGCGGCATCACTTTTAATACTGTTAACGCCATTATTTGATGTTTAATGGCTCCGGCTGTTTAGGACAGAGTCCACAGTTTAACGGCCGCCACTTAACCCTAGTCTGGTTACCAAACGCGACTGGGTCACCTCCGCTGGGATTCGCCGCCGTGTTATTTAGGCTTTAGCGTTGCCGAATTCACTCTACACTGCCCCAGCGCGTTTAGCGAGTTTCCAGCAACGTCGCGTCATGGGCAATTTCATTTAACAAGGGAAAAAATAACTCATCTGTCCGAAATAATTTGTTTTCTTTAGAAATTTTGGGAAAAATGTTGTTCTAAAAACTACTATAATTTTTTAAAGACTTCAATTGATAAAGTCGAATTTTATTGATTTTTTCCGATCTAGTCAATTGTAATTTTTAAGAAACGACGCGCGGCGGGTTTTCCGTCATAGGGTAACCAATTTAGGGTTCAAAATTTGAAGTCGTAATTACCGGTACTCTTCTTGGAAATTTGTATCAAGTGACAGTTCCATGGAAATATTCATATTTCATATTTCTGTTGCGTGGAGGGACGGGATGTCTCGGTTGCAAAGAACAAATACCCCCCCCCCCCCCCCCCCC